GGGTATTGAAATCCAAGAAGTAAATGATGCACCACCTGAGTCATCAATTAAAAATTCACATTCATTTTCGATTTCCATATCCTGATCTTTCATAGGAGGAGGTGATGGAGGTGATATTGAGGCTGAATATCTACAGAAAGGAGTGACAATGACAAATCATTTTGGGCGGTGGGGTAAATTGACTTACAATCTTTAAGATTCCAGAACACCTAAACACAGTACAGAACATTCTTCAGAACGCATTCATTCATTGCTCTTCAAGCTTCCAAAAAGAGCACAAGGCCTGCTTCTTCTTGCTGATGCTGGACAGTCAACTGGACAGACACTGGACAGTCAATTTCCTACGTAAGCAGCCAGATCCAGACTAGCTCTGAGAAAAGACTGCTTGCTCACTGTAAACTTCAAAATCACATAAGGTTTTCCTGAATCCTCTAGGCTACCTATCAAAACATCTCAGGGTCTATCTGAAACACTATTCAACAGACATTACTCAACACACCATTTTACTGGCAGACAAAACCAAGAGCACTGTTAAATTCTACACAAAATTTTGAAACAACCATTCAAACCCTTTCTCAAGTGGCATTTTTAAGTAATGGTCGACTATCACAAAACATGCTCCCAGACTTTGTTTATAGATAAAAGGATGTTGTTCCGATATTCAGACCAGAGTTATTTTAATAGCAAATTATGTTCCATATTAAGCCTCAAAACAAACCTCTGTCAAAGTGTTCCTGTTGCTACAGCTGCTAAGAGAGCTGAAGAGAAAGTCTTCTCTTTCTGCACAGAAGATGTAGCAACAGGTTCTGTTCCTTGCACAAGAAAAACCTGCTCATCTCTCCCAGTCTGAGGTCCTTCCAAATTTTCAACTCCTCCACAGTTCTTTGCTGCAGTAGGTGTATTCCAACCATCAAGACATAATCTATGTATGAAAAACAGCATTCAGATATATTGCTACAAATCTTGTGAGTGCACAATAAAGTATTGTGAGGAAGAACATATGCTCCTGCTGACAGTGTCTCACTTAGGAATGAGTTTCCCCTTGGTAATTTGCTGAAACACCACGTAGCTGTAGTACTTCCCAGCACAGCAGCATGTGTCCAAAGCAATACAGAGTCTTATGGTGACTCTTGATCAAAGTAAAGGCTGCTCAGTAAGGCAAATTCCTAATTTGTCCTAATGTGCTTCAGAAATTGTCAGGTTTCCTAGACTGTAGGTACACTGTCTTCCCAATCTCACTCCATCAATGGGAATCAATGGGATCAGTGTCAGTCCATCTCTATGATCTACCCTACAGGCTCAGCCCTCCAGGAAAGCAGAACTGTGGTAAGGACCACTGGCCAATATTGCAGTTGGGCTTCAAATTTTCCTGTGGGGAGACAGAGATCCCAGCTTAAGTTTTTCGATTTCGTATAAAAAACTCGTCTATTCAGAGTGAGAAGAATGATGACTGTTCATTTCTACTTTAACAAATTCGTGTTAACTTCTAAGGTCAATACTGTCAGTAGGATTCACTGAAAAAGTCTGGACTACTTAAGAAGCTGATACTTTGGTGAACTTTTCTGCAAAGAGTTCAAGTCTATTCTGACAGGCTTCCTACACTTGGGTGCTGCACTTATCACCAGAATATTTAATAAAAAATAATTCTGTCCTTCCTAAAAACAGATATGGAAATTTTCTAAAAAGCTTGGAATTATTTTTTATGAGTTCACAATCTAAACTTATAAACGATGGAAACCACTGTGTTGATTTACCCTAAGGTGGAGGGCACACAGGGGATGTAACACCACAGCCATGTTCAGCTCTACTTACTTAACTACTGGAGAACTTTTCCCTTTCTCCAAAGGAAAAGGTGATCCAACAGACCCGTGATCATCCTCGGGGTCCAAAAACATGGCAAGACTTCGGCACAGCGCTTCAACATCTTCTAATGTAGTTGTTTTGCTTTCAGACACAGGAGACTCTGTTTTTCTAGAAACATCTACATAATCATGTATTGCAGGCTTCAAGGGTGATTCACATGACTGTCCTGCCATATATAGAGAACAGGTTTAATTCCTCTACTCAAAACCTTACAAAAAACCCCCCGAGAAACCCTTAGCTCAGTACTAGTGGGACCAACCTCTGCTGCTGACTGGTTTTAGCAGTGATGCAGGTGAGGATTCTGGAGAATAACAGGCTCTTTTCACAGAGTTGGTTGATCCTGCCTTTGGCTGTCATAGTTGGTAACGAATAATGAGACAAAGTAAAATAGTTGATAAAGCAACAGTATTTTGATAGGAATACAAATTTCTACAGAACACGATATACTTTCCTTCCCTTAAATCACACTGTGATGTGAATCACAGTTCAATTTTAACTAAACACTTCAACTTTCTATCAAGTAAGACTTTCTAGAAGTAACTATAAATTTCAAATAACAGGGAAAACAGTGTGTACAGCAAAAGTCTATATGCAGCTTTAAACAGGCATCCTGCTAGTCTCCAGGCAAGCTATTCTTTTCATTAGAATGAATTATTTTAAACAATTTAATTCACCTTTCTTAAGACAGGCTGAGGTTTTGCAAGAAATTATTTGACATTATATGCTATTCTAACATCAAATTAAGTAAACAAACATCACTATAAAGGATGCCTGTTCTCAACCCTGCCATTAACGGAATATCCTATTTAAAAAAAATAGAATCAAAACATTAAAATTAAATATACAAACTAGATTATTGGCATCATTTCCCCAGCACACTAACAAGGCCTTCAACTTGTTTCCACTCTTCAAGAAAGATACATAAAGTTATTGTACAGATACCTATCAGGAGTTAACGAGTTTTTGTACAAGCATCACCTTTCAACTCTACTGTTCACCATTTAGCTAAGAACTGTGTCCATATATCTAGCAAAGTGGCCAAAACCAACTCCAACGGAGTCCAAGACAGCCATACCCACCAGCAGTAATAAGGCAGCGTGCTCCAACCTGAGACCATAAAAAATTTAAGTGTCCTGGACAAAAAGCTGAAAAAGCTTTCACTAGAAAAAAACCTGGAAAATAAGCTATTAAACAAATCTAATTACAGAATATTTACTGTTAGAGTACAACAAACTAAGGAAAAAAACCATTATCAACAACTATTACAGATGGTTAAATTGTAGCCTATATACTGTTACAAGTGGCATATGGAGCTTCTTCAATGCTCATACAGAACTAAATCCTACAGAACTAAATTTGGACCCCAGTGAAACTGTACCCAAAGCTATACTGTGACATTGCCATAACTAACTTACGCTTTGGCTCTGCATTGAAGTCCTCTTCCTATTTTTGACAACAGGAGCTGAGCAAAGGGTTGTATTTGGAGAGTTTATTGTCAGATCACTGCTGCAACCTATGAAGAAAACACTGTAAGTATGGGGATCTTGGAATTGTCCAGGTCTCATTTATTTTAACAAGTTGCTACAGCTATTAAGGTCACATAAATCCAAACAAGAAAGGAATCAGCTACTCAGGAAAGATTACCTTTATAAGACAGCTAAGACACAGTTTTAAGCAGCTGGGAGGGGGGTGCTTTTCAAGACCCTAAAAAAACTTTATTTTTACCCATTTTATCTCTAATTTTCATTTCTATTTACTTACCACTAAATATAATATAAAGAAGAAATTATTTCTTCTTTTACCAGCAAATTGAGTAAAACACCAAATAAGAGCTTACTTTCAAAACAATCCTCTGTAAGTTTCAGTACGTTTTGACCTGGCGGTACATCAATCTTACTTCTAGAAAGAAGACAAAAAAAAATATTTTAAATCAAAAATATCAAATATTCTTATCCCAGCAATAATAAAGCAGCAAAGTTCTTACTTCTCAATATTTTAAATTATTATTTCCTCTAGTCTCAGCTTCAAGATACTTTTACCTATCATTTCCACACATAGATATCTGCCAAGAAACTTGTCAAAATAAGAATTCCAGGGAAAAAAGCCTCACTGCCACAGATTATGATGAGAATGAAGAATTCTCTCTACATAAAAAGAAAACACACAACTACTTCCCTGAGGTAAAAGAGCTTTGGGATGAAGAAAGTCTCTCTTGAAATAAACATTTTTTGGGCAGAAGTGAGTGATTCACTAGCCAGACAATGTTGATCAAAACCAAAATAACACTAGAAAAGACATGGAGTATTACTCCCATAATGATCATTATACACAGCTGATTTGGTAGATTTGGTAAGCTCGTGAAATGCAAGTCTAAAAATGGATTCCAGCAACAAGAACTTCACAGGCTTCTGACGTGCCTTTAAAGAATGCTACAGCACTGCAAATACTCCAACTCATCTCTAGCATTTACCAGCAAGGTCCAAATACGCTGGAACTCTGTGTGGGCTTCATTTCTCTACTTCTCAAAAGGCAAAATGTCTGCACAGACGACTCCTTCCGTACTCAGGCAGCCTAGTTAGGAGCACCTTAGGTATAGCAACACCATAGTTTGCTGCCTCAGCAAAGGAAACAAAGGAAAACCTTGGGGCTTTGTCCCCCAGCACTGTTTGCTCCTCCCACCACTAAGAAATACAAGAAATTTGGGAAACATCGTATGATCGGATTAATAGGATACACCGTATAGCTTTGACATTATGCTCTCAGATAAAAATCCACATAAGTTTTCCAGAATCTAAGAATAAAACTTCAGATGCAAATTACCCTCCTCCATGGCAGAATCTTGCTCTGTAGTCTTTTTTTAAATGATTCTGTGAAGAAATAAGAATAAGTTCTTACTAGGCATAATGACACTTGACAGGAAAACCAGTAAGCAAACATCAAGCATTCTCCAGCCATCGTAAACTAGTGGGAGAGTGGGAGTTACTGCAGCCCTGTTTTCCTTAGAATGCCACAGCAGCTACAACCCCTGTAACAATTGCCAGAAATTCAGCTTTCCACAAGAACCATCTGTTGCATTTGAAGTCAGAGAGTCTTACAGGAGACTTACGTGACAGAAATCACAGAGGATGTAAGGATTTGGTTACCATTTACTCAAGTGTAATGACTAATCTTTAAAGTAAGGAAGAGGAATGATCTACCACAAAGCAAGCCAGGACATAACCAAACATCTGCTGCTGTGTGTTAACTGCTCACGTGATGGTTCTTACCTGTTTGCCACAGGCACGACCACACTGACAGGCAGTGAGAACACATCGCTGTGCCACGGTAAAACTACAGCCTCAGTTAAGTCCCAGTGCCACCTCACACACTTGAAACCCAAATATAATCAAAGTCATTCAAATAGAAAACATGACTCCAGTCATCTACTACCACAACTGGAGCAGTAATACTTCAAACGGTAACATATTATCAGTGTTACCTTCTACACCAACAAATGAAATAAAGCCACTGACCTGGAAACAAGCAAAGAACATCAAGGATACGAATGGGAAGAAAGGTCTAGAAAAATTCAAGTGCTAAGCACAGTGCAGTTTTTCACAGATGTGATAGGAAAACATCTAAAAAAATGTAAATGTTTAGCTGAAAAACAACTATGACCTCTTATTCATTTGTGTAAATTTAAAAAGTATGTGCAGCTTGGAGATTATCTAGTCCTAACACAACGGAAGTCAGCTCGTTTTTCTGAAGTTTGCTATACTGACAGTACTTTGCACTTTATGATTCCTCTTTGGATATTACTTCTGGTCACAAAAATAACCAACACCACATATGGATTGATTGCACTGGAAACTTTCAATATCAGCCTTAAGCAGCAGAAGGAAACTCTAGGTCACACGGGAAAACAACTGACCAAAAGCCACCTCTTCAGAAACTGTGCACACTACAGTCAATCTGACACTCGGCCTTAAACCTCTTCCCCTTGCAGCAGAGTGTAGCACAATCCACTGGCACGCAGCCTTTCGCACTAAGAGACTGAAAATCTCCGACAACGGACCTTTGAACAGTTCATTTATGAGTGTGTTCGCATTGTCCTACACATGAAGAGTTTTAAAACTCAAGATGAGCACGATTGTGGCGTGCCTGGACAAGTGTCCGGCTCTGTACGCGCTCACTCGCCCATGGAAGGCGGCTCTCCAGAGGCAGCCTGAGGGAAAAGGGGCTCCCGAGAGACAAGCCCTCGGAGCACAAGTGTCTGTGCAGGGGGCCCGGACCCGAGCCCGAAGGGCGCGGTGCGCCAACTCCGGCCTCCCGCTCCTCAGGGAGAAGCGGAAGACCCCGGGGTGGGGCGGAAGAACGACCCCGCCCCTCCCCCGGGAACGCGCCGGGGGCCGCACCTCTGGCTGCCCACAGCGCACAGACAGACCGACAGGCAGGCGGACAGACCGACAGACAGACACACCCCCGCCATCCCCGCACTCTCTCACCAAGGCCTCCGCCATCCCGGGCCGGGGCTCGCGCGCGCCCCGCGCGCCGCTTTCGAACCTGGGCGCCTTTCCCGCCGCGCGCGCGCCCACGGCCGGCGGGGACAGCGGCGCCCCGGCCACGCCCCCCCGCCTCCGCCTCATTGGTCGGTGGCCGCCGCGCGCCAGTCAGGGACGCTACGTTTTGGCGCGCGCAGGAGCGGGGGCTGTCTCCGCCCTGGGCTACTTTCTTGCCTTCCCTTCCTTAAGGGGACCTGCACGGCGACGGCTCCCGTTTCTTTGTCCTCTCCTGGGAAACGCCAGTTCAAATTCTCGAGTTTCCAAATGGCCACTGACACTACGGGGAGCTGCAGTTTTTTCTGCAGCTACGGCGAGGCAGTGCATGGGAGAAGCACCATCCCCAGAGAAAGCTTGGACGTGGCATAGCATCTCCGAACTTCTTTGGACTTCCTGGCGATGCAGCCTGTGTGAGGAGAGCTCTTCTGTGTCCCTCCTCCTGCTCCTCTTGCTCAGAGGACAAGAGAAGAGCCTGTCACACCTGAAGTGGATGTGGTGGAGGCAGCACATCTGCAGCAGGTTGAGGGGCAGAGTGCCGAGGCGGAACTGGTTGAGGAGGGCAGGGGAGGGAGAAGAAAGCAGAGGAGGGAGAGGAGGCGGACCGGCCGGAGCAGAGAGACGGACGGGGCTGTTGGGGGCAGCGGGAGGCCGGGCGGCGGATCGGCGGATGCGGCTCTTTGGGGAGCGGGGTTGGCGGCGCTGGCCGCGGTTCTGCTCGGTGCGCAAGGCTGGAGCCCGGGGACCGTGGTGGCCTCGGCTGAGGTGGCCGTGCAGGTCCCTCGAGGCTGCCGTCCGGTCTGGCAGGTTCTTCACAGAGCTCAGTCTCCCAACTAGCCTTCCGTCCGTCTCTCTGCTCCGGCCGGTCCGCCTCCTCTCCCTCCTCTGCTTTCTTCTCCCTCCCCTGCCCTCCTCAACCAGTTCCGCCTCGGCACTCTGCCCCTCAACCTGCTGCAGATGTGCTGCCTCCACCACATCCACTTCAGGTGTGACAGGCTCTTCTCTTGTCCTCTGAGCAAGAGGAGCAGGAGGAGGGACACAGAAGAGCTCTCCTCACACAGGCTGCATCGCCAGGAAGTCCAAAGAAGTTCGGAGATGCTATGCCACGTCCAAGCTTTCTCTGGGGATGGTGCTTCTCCCATGCACTGCCTCGCCGTAGCACTCGTGCCACAGCCCCTGACAAAAGCCCAAGTGGTCTTTGTCGCCAGCACAAGTACTCCTGCTTCCAGCAGGGATACTCCCCGGGACAGGCCAGGAGAGGCTGATGCTTGATGCTGAGCCCGGAGGGATGTTCTGCCTCTCATGCCCCTTGACCATTCTCAAAAGCACGTGCCGTGGAGGACAATTCAGGAGTCTCCCCAGGCCAGCAAAAGAGAGATGAGAGGGAAGAGGAGGGCCACGAAAAAAACTCCTGGTCTGTCAATCTTGAACTCCTCGAGACCAATCCTCACCCCTCCCACCTAGCCCAACCCCGCCGCCTCCGCGGTGCAGAGCTCCGACCGCCACCCCCCCGCCGCTGCTCTCGCCGGCCCTCCGCATCCAGCTCGCACCCGACGAGAGCCCGAGAGGCGTCGGTGCCCGGCACAGTACCTGGGTTGAGTTGGATGAGGAGGGCAGTGGACGGAGACGAAGACAGAGGAGGGAGAGGAGGCGGAGAGGAGGCGGAGAGGAGGCAGCCCGGCCGGAGCATAGACGAGGCTATCAGGTGTATGGGTTTTATGAGGTCAGTGTGATTATGAGGCCTGCACCATTATGACATGTCTGGGCTTTATGAGGTCAGTGCCATGAGGAGGCCTGCACCATTATGACATGTCTGGACTTTACGAGGTCAGTGTGATGATGAGGCCTGCACCATTATGACGTCTGGGCTTTATGAGGTCACTGTGATGATGAGGTGATAGCACAGAAATCTCTTGTTGCTCATGGATTCCCTAGGCTGACAAACCAACTCTACTACAAAACTGAAGACTGCTGGCTTTCTTTCCTGGTGATAAGGGCTGTCATTTCCTGTTTCCACACCTTCGTCCCAACTGCAAGATCGACTCCCAAATTTGCACACGAAGGAAGATTACTCCCACAGCGAAGATGTAGGCAGAGAAAAGTCTTACTC